AACGAAAATGAAAATTTGCTTGATAATTCAACTACGCTTGTTGGAGAACAATAAAAACACTACACTCAACAAGCCACCAATAAAACTCAACTGCCTAATCTATAACCAAAGTCTCCTTTTAATTTGTTTTTTAAAAAAAGCGCTTGACAAACTTGCCCCGCATGCCGAAGTTGCCCCGATCTCCCCTATATGGCGAATGCATATAGGGCGCGACTAACCTAGTTCCTATACCATTTCTTCAGGTACACCGGAGAGAGAGCTTACAAAAATTCTAACAAAAATACGCGTAGAGGTAGTTCTCCGAAGTTGTTGAGGCGTATGTGACGTTCGGTTGTAGCGTAAGCCGATGATAGGAGGAATCGTGTATCGACGATATCCGCGGTCTTCGTACGGATTATGTAGGATAGGGCGAGTCTGGAACCTGGGACGAACTCTTCTGTGGCTACTTCTAGGAACAAACACGTGCGAAAGATCCGGTGCTTCGTCCTTTTATTCTGTGTTGCCTCGACAACTGCATTTAAGCGACACCTATACGTGGTCACCTGCTCACCTCTGATCCAATACTTGCAAAATACATCTTCTCCATCAACAGACAGATTTATACAGTGAGCAGTTACAATGAGTATACGATCAATTAATTAAATTAATGCTAAAACAATCATTCTTGGCATATTGTCGAAGTGTTGTTGATTTTACAACAGAACTTTCGATCACACATGGCAGAAATTACAAGAAACAAAACAATGCAATTGAGGTGAAAACTATTATTTCATCCTCTCTATTCTGTTGTCTTATCACCGTCGAATCGACATATTTTTAAATCTTTGGATAATCGTGTGCGTAGAAAACAATTTACAAATCACGCAGCTATAAAAGAAAAAGAAACCGAATTTTTTGTACTAAACATAATAATATCAAACATCCCTTTTATTAGCAAAGTATAATTTAATATAAAGGTAAATATTTAGATGAATAAAACTATTTTAAACAAAAATACGAGCATTTTTATTCACATTTTTAAAAATAATATTATTTATTTATATAACTGAATTTTCCTGTAGATATGTTTCGAAAAAATAGACCTATCTGTTTAAAGTAAAATAAAAAAAAAATAATATAATCAGAGGCATTACCAGAAAATTCTTTTCTAATTGTAATTAAAAACAAAACCTAAATGTAAATAAATGTGAATACGAAAAAATATTTTAAAACTGTGTCAATGGTGTTAAATAAAAAGAAATCGCATAGAAAATAATTAAGTTACTCTTTGTAATTGTGTTAAATCAAAATTATGTAAAAAAATAACATGTATTGCTCATTTCCTTCATGCTGTATTTTAACTTTGTGAGTATATTAAAAACATTCCTAATAGAAGTGTGAAATAATTTAATATTTAAATTTATTCAACAATTAGAATGTAATTGATGAGAATTTATATACCAATTATACAATTTTTGTTTATGATAATTATTTTTATTTGTGAAGTTGTATGGAAAATTCATCGAAATCGACAAATTGTGTTCTGCTGACTTGCCATTAGAAACCAAAATGAAGGTAATATAAATGCGTTCAAATTATTTTTCTTTTGGTGTATAAATTTAATATTTTAAAAAAATTTTCTATTTGCTTTTTAAGATGCTGAACTTTATGAAAAGATACGGTAAAACTCCATTTGGAGTAAGCATCGGCGGATTCTTTTATGTTAAGAAAAACTTCTTCATTCGAGTAAGTTCGTTTAATATATTCTGTGTGACTTTATTAAAGTGATAAAAATATTATTTATAATTGAGTGTGTATAATTACAAATCTATTTTATTGAAAGAATCGTAGTAAATTCGTAACACTCTTTAGGTATATATAATAATTTTGTAAATATTATTTTATAGATGGTGAGTGCCTTATATTCATCGCTGTCTGTATTGACGGAGCTTTTAATTAAGAAGAAACCATCTACTTGTAAAGTCAAGATTAGAGATTTGATTCAATGAAGCTATTGAATTAAATTATCTCACAGGCTGACTTGAATATTTGAATAATAGTAGATTTACTACGAGGAAATAAGGTATTCCTGTGTTAAAAAAAGAAGTCGATTGTAGACTAATCGGAAAAATTGAAATCTCAAATTCTGAAAGAAAATACTCCTTACAAAATTTGAAGAGTCGAAATCTACATTCGTTCGACAATAAATTTATGCTTCACTAAATTTATAAAATATATTTATTTTTTATTTTATGTCATTATTATTATATACTAGCTGTACGCGGTCACGCATTGCTGTGCCTCAAACTGTGTCTATTATAAATGTATAACATTCCACGCAGGGGGGTGAATTTCAATTATTCTAATGCAACGTTGTGACAAAATTTCAAGACAATCTCACAATTTCATATCTCACGTCAATTTCATATCTCACGTCTGTAGAAAATTGTTGCGGTTCCTTTTTTAACGTTTTAAATTAAAAAACGTAGGCAATACGCACGTTAAGAGAATATCAGCCGGAAATTTCTCCTACGGCCGAATTTTAATGTAAAATTTTTCTGGAACATCGAAACCGCATACTCAAGACAGTACAGTATATATCAAATTTGATTGAGATTTGCTTTATAGTTTTTTCTACAGAGAGCTCGAAATGCTATTGTTATATAATCACTTTGTATTTAACAAACGAATACTACTAATTCTAAGGAAAAGTGATAAGCCTCGTCCATTAGATTTTAACACGTAACGCACGATAGGACAAAGTGAATATCTGTCGAGATTTGTGAAGAATGTCTTGAGAGTCATTTTATAGCCGAAATTAGTTAAGATTTGCTTTTCTACAAAGTTTTGAACATATTTTGGAAAAAATACAGGACAAAAGTTGTAAGATTTCGAGGGGTCAATCAATTGGTCACCTGAAACGTCACCTTGACCTCGACCTTCAAGGTTATTTGGAGGTGAAGTCTGTTTTTTCAATGAGAACACATATTTTTGACCCCAGAAATAAGTATTAAAATAAGTTTTTAATTTTAACCTTAAAATAATCTTGACCTTTGACCTAGACCTTAAAATCAAGGGTATATCTGAATGTAAAATTTTCTGCACTTTACATTTCCGGGGTCAAAAATATGTGTTTCCATTGAAAAAAACAGACCATACCTCTAGATGACCTTGAAGGTCAAGGTCACGTCTCAGGTCACCAATTGATTGACCCCTCGACACCCTACAACTTTTGTCCTATACCTTTTTCCAAAATAATAAGATCCAATTAAGATATTTCATTGTCTCAAGATAAAAAATACACCTGCATATTAAATTGTTCTGCTGTTTAGGTACTGAGAGGGTTTCTTTTAGAAATGGCCCGACATATTCAGATGGACCACCCCCGATGAATTCCTGGAGTTTTGCGACCTTTCCGGACTCGATTCCGGGTCGTCCAGAGGTGTAAGCAACCATTTTAATCAATTGACCACCAGGCTATTACACTGTTTATTAACGATTAAAAAATTTTGCACTTTGTAAAAGATTTTTTAAATAATTTTTATTTATTATAATGAATGACTTTTAATATTTTTCGAAATGTCATTTGGAATTTTTGAAGTAACGTTTTCAGAAACTATAATTTATTTTTCAGTAAATGTCAAATCCTTCTACAGTAACAAAAATTGTTAACAATAGACAAAATATTGTTTTACGTAACAAAATATTTAAGTGTATGGTTAATTTAGAAGCTTCTCAACGAAGTAAAATGTAAAACGTTTTAAAAATATTTTACTAATTTGTTCTAAATTTTTTACTAATTTGTTCTATTTGCAAAATCTGTAAATTTTTAAATTCAACTGATATTTTCATTTGGCTCTTATCGTCCTTTGGCTTCCGAGAGGGTCTTTTTAACCGCATCTATCGGGAATTCGACTGCATGGTGAGAGACGGGGTCCGACATATTCAAGACAGATCGACTTACTCCAGAAGTTCTTGGAATGTTCGCCCAATTTCGTTCCGAATTCCTCAAAACCGTAGGCAGCTTACTGACGAACTTTAACTACCTATTAGTGAGATATTTCTTATAATATTTCATAAAATAATTACTTTAAAACTTGAAATTTTTAAGATCGATAGAATAAACCAAACTCTTCTTAAAAGTTGATCCAAAATTTCAGATTATGTGATCAAATTAATAGAATGCAACAGATGAGCAACTTCGAAGCGTGGGGTCATCCAAAAAGGATTTTCTACGAAAAACTAACCTGTATTTTTGCTAAAGAAATCCAAAAATTTTATTCGGTTACTCTGTTAGTCAGGAGCGAACCCACGTCCAACTATCAGTGTTCAGTAGTCAGTGGTCATTGGTTTTATCGGTTATTTGTGAGCAACTTTGTATTCACAAAGAGTATTGGAGTATTCGCGTTTTGTTTTAATTTCCTCGATCAGATTTCACTTATTATCAGAAAACTTATATTTTAATTTCAATCTGATAAAAGTTTCCATCAACGATTACAGTAATTTTAAATTTTTATGTCAAATTTCTAATGTTTAATTTTATGTCTGGCGTGTTGAATTTACATTAATTTGAATGGCTGTAAATAATGTAGTTAAATTTTGTAATACGAAGGAAGAATCTATACATTTTAAATTTCAGATAAATAATGATGAAAAGAATGAATACTTAATTTGATTAATTAATTTTATGAATAAACAAATTTAATTATTAAGATGAAATGTATACGTAATATAATTAAACTATTTTAAAAAAGTAATATTTTACAAGTTACGCAATGCTAATATATAGACCTACATTTTCTTAACGTTTTTATGAATGTAAGTCATGTTAAACTTGAAAATACAAATTTAATAGTGTCTAGAGATGCAAATATGCTAATGACGACCGCGTTTTGTTAATAGAAATACGACGTTTCCATTTTTTTTAATTTGATTACTTTTCTTGGAATTCGACGACCATTAATAACTAATTTAAGTCAATATGTATACAAACACTAACCGGGTTTTTAAGGCTGGTAGACATTTATAATCATTTCAGTAATTCTGACTCACTTTGTACGTCGCAACTTTCTGGTAATGTACTTTTAATTACATACAGTGTAATCCACAAACTTCTTTAATTGGTTATGTCTTCATAGATGAAAGTATATTTTAATGCTTAGAGCCTAGATATTAAGTATATTTATCATTCTGAGAAGATTTGAACATTTCTAGTCAGAATCATAGCTGCAATTTAGCAATACATCATTGAAATAAATTAATTCCATTTAATTAATTATTTAATTATGATTAAACATTTCTGCTAAATATCTTAACTTTTAACACGACTTTAGTTTTTTAAATTAATAATTTTTAACAATTATATTATAAACTTTATATTTCAGAAATACAAGAATTTAGCAGTTATATATAATCGTTTCCTTGGCATTTTCTAGAACATAAATTAACATTTTGCAAAATTATCCTGCATCAAACAAGAAGAAATGTTTGAATTTCAAATAAGGCAATGGTTAGAAATTCATTGAAAGTATTTCGTAAGTTCAGAATATACCTTAACAGTTGCTTTATTTAAACAGAATATTTTATTATGATATTAATATTACTGGAGAGTTATCCTGTGACCAAAAACAAGGCGATTGCCTGGAGCCCCAGCAACAAGAAACCCCAAACCAATCTCTTCCTACAAAGTATTTCTACAAAAACATTACTCCGAAAAAATATGTGAAGTAAACAGTATACTTTGGCCCCCTAATTCAATTTGTTTGGAACCCTTGAAGGTATAACGTGCTACTGAGAAACATTATATTTATGTTAGACGTCTAAGTATATAATTACACTTTGTAAAAGATATTTTCACTAAAGACTCTACCAAATGCTCAATTACAAGTATTAATCTCAAGTAAAATTATTATTCGTTTCTTTCATACAAAGCAGAACACGTGTAATACAAATAATTTTGATCAGCAAATGTTTAAAATCATTTTTATATAATGTTTATTATTATTATACATTCAGAAAGAAAAATTCTAACAAAAAATAATACAAATTAATAATATTAAAAATGATAAAATTAAATAATGTAATATCATTTACCTGTATATATTCATGTAGTGAAAGACAATAGATTTTACAGGTGAATTCAGAGTTCTTCAAGCTTATTAAAAGCTCAATTGGATAGGTCAACATAATTGCAAGTACTGGAAAATGAAAAAACTAACATTAAACATTAGTCAAGCAAATGTAACACTCATCCTTTTTCGAAAACAAAAAAAATTAGATTAAAACAAATAGTTTACTATATTTATAAATAAATATTAATTAATATTACATTCTTACATTTTCTAAACAGAGAATAAATTTACAGGACTTTTTTATAACCCAGTTGAAAAGTCTTTTCTAGATGCTGTTTAATCTGAATAGAATAAAAACCATTTTTTCGGATAACAAATACTTTCACTTTAACCATTAACAATCTTTAATTAGGTATTAATATAATCATAGCAAATCGTTTAATTTGAATAGTCAAGTAAGATTCTTATTTTCAAGTAACGGTGGGACTATGATTTTCAGCACGTGGTGGGATGGCGAATGGCCTCGCTGTCTCTACAAAATGTCACAAGAGTCCTAGGACGATAACGCAAAGTGGCGAGATCATGCCGCCACTAAAATAAGCATGAAACCCATTGTTCATAAGTGAAAGTGTGGTTTCTCAGGTCAAAGCTTCATTTTCAGGTGACGTGTTTTTACTGGTGATTTGCGATAGTTTACTTCCTGTTTTCTTACGATAGCTTAAATTTTTTTATAACATTTATTTAGTTATATGGATATAATTTTAAATTAAATATATCTATATATGAAAGGTATATAGTATTTATTGTATAGTAGTAAATTTTAATATACAAATATGTTATTATGAATTATTTATGTTTTGGAAGTAATTCTATATTCGTTGCTATATTTAATTATAAATGACAAATTTGTATTGATAATTTCGATAAGAACATTGATTTGTTTAGGAAATAATCTTAGTTTACTGAAGAAATTGAATAGCAACGAATATCCAGTTTTATTCTCTGATTGTTACTCTGTCAAGCAATCAGGGTCAGTTTCTGGAAACTAAAAAACTACCACAAAATGGGTGTCGCCTTGACGTGGCTTTGTGGCTTAATGTGTGAACATTTATTTAAGTTTTAAAGATAAAATTTTCCACAGACTAAGTACACTAGACAGAAATTTTGTTTCATAGAAGTTGAGTGTAAGAATGAATAGTAGATGTGGACTGTTTACAGAAGCCAATGATGATTTAACTTATTATCACAGTTTTTCTTAAACTGCAACAAAATTCCCATGATATATCCACGGTAGAAAACAGTTTTTTTTTTTTAAATTGAAAAATTTTAATGATTTTAGGATTATCTGAAACTCTATTAATTATTGACAAAAACTTACATATTATTTTTAGCATGACAGTGTACTTACGTGTCAATATTCACTTTTTAGTTTTGATCTTGTAAGACAAGTGGTTAAAAGTAACGATGTGTTGTGCAAAAAAAAAAAACGAAATATCAGACGAACAAAGCGAGAGATGTCGTGTTAAACATATATTATTATTCTATCGTTTATAATTCACTTTATAGTAGCTAAACACACACAAGATTATAGGTTACTAGCATTTCGAGTGATTTGTCGAAGCTCACTGATATAGGTTAATTCTCAACAGTCTGTCTGGATGTCTGGTCCGGTTATTTACTATTCGACCGCCCCACTTACTTGCCTGGTTGTAGGGATCCCGTAGATATGTTGCCATTAATTTTAAGTCCTTTTTTGACTATCTATCACACCTGTCACATTTTGTCATTAAATTTTATACATTCCCATAGTAATGCTAGGTTTGATCTGTCATCCCGATAATAAAATCAAGCAGTTAGTTACAGACGTTTGGATCTACTTTACATTAATTAATCGAAATTTTTTGCCAACTCGAGATTAATTTTAAAAATAGGCAATAAGAAAAAATTTACCTATTTACTAAGAAGAGGGTAGAAATGTTTGGAATTAAAATGTATTGCGATTGTAAGAAGGCTGGCGAAAAGTCCAAATATCTGTCAAAGTTATATCCATTGTACCAATCTGCCATAGAGGTGTGAGGGACGAACAGACCCACAATAAAGTGTTATTTTAAATTTTAATTATTGGAAAATTTAATCGGTTAAATTCGAGCGTTTTATCGAGTTAGGCTAAAAGCCATAAAAATTATTTCCCACGGAGTTTGTTCCTTGTTGAGTCGGATCAAGTTAGTCAGGGATGTGTCACCAGGAACTTTTGATGGAGAAGACATATTGGACGTGCGACCGTTAAAGGCCATCACCTGACCTCATGGAAAAAACCCAAGAGGAATGAAAAAGAGAAAAGAAAAAAAGACCCCGAGGTCAGTCGTCATCCAAAGTCCGCCCAACAAAGTCGTCCTCCAGGATAAAAATCGTGACACCGGATTAAAACCGTGACCCAGGATTAAACCCGAGAGAAACATTCGTGCTGGATTAAGCCTCTACACTCCTCCGTGCCTCCACACCAGTGAACGGACAAGATTCTGATTCAAGATTCAACGGTAAAGAACTGTCCATCGACAAGGTATTTATCAACCCGCGATTCGTTTGTAAACTCTCTCTCTCTCAACGGCCTAGTATAGTTAAGAACGATGATATGCCCGATAGTATTTAGTATCTCTGTATAGTATTTAGTTCGATTTAATTAAAATTGTTATTTATTTGTTACTATGGAGTCCGAGTAAGTTACTTCCTCGTCTCTCTCCTCACCTCTACTCCGAATCCAAGCGCTCACACGCTACCGCTCGCGAATCTTTAGACTTAACGTCGCGATTTCCGAGTCCCCTAGAGACTCGGTGGTGTCATCCTGACAGGGCGCCAAAGAGGTGCCGACCCTACGGTCACAGAGGTAATTATATTGGCTAACATAATACTTTCTATTCTAGAAGTTACAGACAATTTCGTTTGTGTCAGATGGAACCGAGTATTCCTAAACCAGGGGTGAGCAACCTTTTTAATCAACGGGCCAATTTAAATTCTAAAATTTTTTGGAGGGCCGCACATAAAGTAACACTTACAGTAGAGTCTCGAAAACTCGGCACTCGATAACCCGGCACTCCGGATAACTCGGCCACACCCTGGCAGGGCAAAAAAAAATCCTTAGTTAATTAATTTTCATTATAGACAGCTTTATAAAAGTATAAAAGCTCTCATAAAGTATTTTTCTGAGGTCTGTCTTATCAGGTAAATTACTGTACANCATTTTTCGTCAAAAGCGGAAATTTCTCAGGGCTCACATAAGATTTATAAAAATTTTCGATGTTTACTTGAAAAAAATACATTTTATAAATCGGTATTATTCTGCATGTCAATCACATCCATTTGAAAGTCTTCGGGAACTGTATCCACATCGATATTAAATGGCGAGGAAAATATTTTCATGGAAACCGCTGTCTTCTCAGCTTTGAACATTTGGAATCGTAATTGAAATTCGTTGATTAAAATGTCTATATATTGTGCGTATTTTTGAGAAGTAGTAACGTTTTCTTTTTCTAAATGTGGAAAGTGAGACACATTATTCTGCAAAATATGCTGTTTCCACAATTTTAATTTGCGCTCAAAGTCCTGAATTTTATCATACAAATTGTGAATAGACTGTTCTTTGCCTTGAAGTTCCACATTAAGATTATTGAGATGCTGAGTCATGTCGATAAGAAACCCAAAATTGCACATCCATTCTTTATTACCAAAATGAGGAAAGGTATATCCCTTCACATCCAAGAACAATTGTATTTCGCTTTTTAAGTTGTATACTCTTTTTAGCATTGCACCTGTACTAAGCCAACGTACTTCGATATTAAAAACCACGTCGCCATATTCAGTTCCAAATCTTTTAGGAATTCTTTAAATTCACGGTGATTTAACGCGCGCGACTTTATAAAATTCATTAGTTTAATTATTGGTACTGTGACATTTGGCAAACTCAATCTTTTCGCACACAAATTTTCCTGGTGAATTATGCAGTGGTTAACGAATATTTTCCTTCCTGTGACCTTCTTAATGTCTTGAAATAGCCTTCCCGATACTTCTACCTCCATGCCTGACATTGCTCGTGCTCCATCTGTCGATATACCAATAATCTTTTCTGATGAAATTGAAAAATTTTCTAACACAGACTTTAGTTCATCGTACAGGTTTTTGCCGGTTGTAGTCCCTTGCATTGGAATTAGTGAACACAATTCTTCGGTAATATTAAATTTGGTGTCAATACCACGTAAAAATATAGCCAGTTGTGCTGTATCGCTAATATCGCAACTCTCAAGTGCCAAAGAACAGTATTCGAATTTTGCAATGCGTTCACGAAGCGTTGTTGCTATGTTCTCGGACAAGTCTTCAATTCTCCTTGCAATGGTGAATCTTGATAAACTAATGTTTGAAATAATATTTATTTTTTCAGGACATGCTATTTCTGCAACAGCAGTCAGACATTCTTTTATCATCTCTCCATCCGCAAAGGGTTTCAGTTTTTTTTGCCAGTATTTGACTGACAACAAAACTAGCCTTTACTGCCGTATTTGATAAAATGGCTTGATTTTTAAAAATAGCCTGTTGTTTTCCCAAGTTTTTCTCCATTTGATTAAACTTATCTATCCGGAGTTGTCGTGTTAAGTTTTTATATTGTTGTTCATGTTTTGTATCGTAATGCCTTTTTATGTTATATTCTTTTAATGTCGACACAGTCTCTGAGCATATTAAGCATATAGCTTTATCTTCGACGAAAGTGAAAAAATGATCAAATTTCCACTTTTCTTGGAAATGCCTGTGCTCATCCGCAACCTTCCGTTTTTTTTGTTTGCTTT